CACTGGCCTTGCCTGCCTGGGTCTCCCTCCCAGTGTGCCCGGGTCTCCCATGCTATAGACCTCAGATAGGGATTGGGTGAAAACCACCTTCACCTTCACTTTTCTTGCTATCTCTTTCTCCCTCAGCTTCATTTATTGCCCTAGGAAGAAGACAGTCAAATTTCCACTGGTGATGGATTTGAAGGGGAGACCAGCAGAGAGACAGAGGCAGGGACAGAAGGAAGGAGACAGAGACCTAGAGAAGGAAAAGCAAGGCAGGGAGGAGAGCAGAGGAGCTAGAAGAGGGGAGGATGGGTGGCGATGGCTTTTCTTCAGGGCTCCACGTGGGTCTGTGCTTTGGGCCCCAAGTCTGGAAACAGCCTTTGCAGAGCAGAGTCACAACTCCCCATGTGTCTCCCAGAGGTGGGCCGGGGGCTAGGGACCTGGCTCAATAACAGCAGAGACAACCTGAAGTTGAGTTTGTTCCTTGACTGTGGGTAGAAGGAAGTCATGGCAAATTTCTGGAGGCTGCCACGTTCTTGTCCAGCAGCTGCCCAAGGCCGAGTCAGTTTCCAAATGGAGCCACAACCCAGGAAGCTGCATTGACCACCAGAGACCTTCTCGCCAGCGTGGGCTGAGATCACTGTGTGCGGGGCAGGGCCTGCCGCCTCTAGACCAGCTGCCTCCCTGCCAGAGTTGGAAAACCGGCCCAGACCCTCTGCTCCTTTCTCCCTGCCCTGACCCACTTCAGACCAGTTCCTCTGCTTTTGTTAGAATCAGCTCCCACTACTTGGCTGTCCCCTTACCCAAAGTTCTGAGGCCCTGGACCATCTCTGAGGGCCTCTCCAGGCAGGTGCAATAGCACCACTCCCAGGTCCACTCCTGGGGTGCAATGTGCTCTCTGGCTATGCCATTTTTTGTCATTTCTTGTTCCTCCCAAATACCAAGAATGGTGCTTCCGGGCTGGGTTCCACTTGCTATAGGGAAGAGAGTTCTCTCTCGCATGTGGGTTCTTTTCCCTTGAGTTCAGATCCCAGACAGGCCCAGGAAGGATGACAGCTTTCAGATTTTAAGGTCCCTCCTCACCTCACAGTCCAAATTCCCAGATATAGCAAGTTCAGATGGGTGGAGTGGGAGTGGGAGGTTGGATCTTTATTAGCATCAGAAAGAAAGAAACCAGGAAACTCTAAAATTAATAATAGAATGGGATTCTATAAACAGCCACATGTCGATTCATACACCATTCAGGGTATACAATAGTTATTTTTATCTAAATTATTTCCTGAGCAAGAATAAGATTCAGATGTTAAATAAAACAACCGTAACTCTATTTAGTTTCATTTCATGGCTAATGAAACGATGAAGACAATAGAACTTACAATAGATCTGGAAAATATTATTACTGAGCTGATACAAAGAGTATAAACACTGGCCTATAAATTTATGAGTAAAACTTGGATAAGAAATATTTCTGTTTTAACATGAACTAAGGAAAATAAATACTAAATGGAGAAAATTACAAGGGACAACTTGTCACCAAGTAGGTGTCAAATTAAGAAATATGAAGCTAAAATGAAGAACAATGTAAAAGTAATTCACAAGGCGATGAAGTCACAGTGTAAAATGCCTACTGTGTGTGGGGTTGTAACACGCATGGGGAGATGGGATGCCTATTTGAAGATCCCCCCCACCCAGAGCTCTCCAGGGGGCGTCACGGAAGTGGAAGCAGTTATGGCAGGAGCACAGGGCCCTTACAGGGAGAGCTCAGCTGCCAACCGCTGCTGGCAAAACCATTGCCACTTATGAGGGGCCAAGAGCAGTGAGTGGCAGCCATGTGGCTCTTAGAATAAGACACATGGCCAAGATCAGCATTTGTGATGAGACCTCATGCTGCTCTTCTGCATGCCTTTGCCCACTTGGCTAAAAGACCCAGAGGCCTGGGTCAAAATGCCTCGCTGCTGTTCCCCCTCTTGGTCCTGCCTGAAGTCTAGCACAATGACTTTCTTTGGCTTGTGACTTTCTTTTGGTCAAGTTTCTGCCCAGTCCCAGCCTCCCTCTGTGTGATGCTCTTTGCCCCATCCTGTAGCATGGTCAGGAAGCAGTGGAGAGAGCACCCAGCTTACAGCTTGGGCCAGTGCCCCTGCTCTGCCTCTGTCCTCTAGTGGGGAAGGATCAGACACTGACCCACCTTCGTCCACCTGAATCTTGGAATAGTGGCAGACAGTGGATCCAGGGATGACCTCCAGCTTCCTGCCTCCAGATCCTCCCTCACTTCCTCCCTCATCCCTTTCTTCCTCCCTCTCTCCCTTCTCTTCCTCCCTCTCTCCCTTCCCTTCCTCCCTTCCTTCTTTCTTTCCATCCTTCCTTCCTTATTTAATTCCTTCCTTCTCTCATTCCATCAACACTGACTGTGGGTGTCGGGTACATGGCAGTTAGCAAGACAGACGAAACTTCTGTCCTCATGGATTTACAGTCCAGTGGGACAGACATTAAACAGATGAAATGATCACAGTGGTGCATATATATTTGCAAAAGGAGATTAAGTGCTGGGAGGAAGCACAGGGTGCTACGTGACAGACTAACAGGGTGGATTGAATTTGGGTGCTGGGAAGGTCTCTTGCGGGGAGTGATAATTAAACTCCCTGCGGCAGGCTGCGTGGGAGTTTTCCAGGCCGACTGGGAGTGATGGTGTTCCTGGCAGAGGGGACAGCAAGGGCAAAGGCCCCGAGGCAAGCTTGGTCTGTTCAAGGAGCTGGAAAGATGCCAGTGTGGTTAAAGCACCTGGAGAGAAGGAAAGATTGACACAAGAGGAGCCTGGGAAGTAGGCAGGTGATCACATGCTGTTAGTTTAAGAGTGGCAAGGAACCATTTAAGGATTTTTTAAGCAGTGGAGGAACGTAAGCAGATTTGCATTAAAAAATTGTAGCTACTCAGGAGGCTGAGGCAGGAGGATCACTTGAGCCCAGGAGTTCGGGTCCAGCCTGGGCAACATAATGAGACCCCATCTCTCTCAAAAAAAATTAAAATTAAAATTACCGTGGATGCAGAGGCGTGTGTGGGTTGGTGGGGCAAACATGGGTGTGGGGGGACCAGGTATGATGCCACTGTGGTCAACAAGGTCGTGAGGACACGGCGGTCACAGAATGGTCTTCTACGGTGTGGGGCAGTGGGGTGGCAGGAGACAGGTGGGTAGATTTAGAAGACATTTAGAAGTCTGACCGTGAGATATTAGAAACGAGAGGTGAGGAGGTAGAGGTGCCTGCAGTGGAAGGTGCAGCCAGGAGGATGGAGGCTCCCGCCACTGAGATGGAGCACCCTCTCCTTTGTGTCTGAAACTGTCCTGTTTCACGATAAAGGGGCGTTAGGGCTGGCCCTTGAGAGAGCAGCAATGAGCCGCCCAAGGTCGCCCCGCCAGTGGGCAGAGGCGGGACTGAAACCCCGAGCTCTCTACCTGGGCCAGGTGTCCGCCCCTTTGTGGTTTCCAGCTCAGAGCAGGGGGCTGTGGCCCTGGGGGTGGGCTCCCAGGAGGCCACGCCCCGTCCGGGCCTCGGCGTGGGCGTGGCTCGAGGCTCCCGCAGCTCCTCGCGGGGGCGGGGCTTCCCGCCTCAGGTCGCGCTCTGCGGGCTGCCCTGCTCACCCCTCCACCCGCCCGGCTGGTGGCGCTCAGCTGGGAGCACGGTGGAGGGGTCCCCAGCGCAGCAGGTCCTCAAGCCCGCACGTCTCCCTTCCTCCTCCAGCTTCTGTTTCTGCCTCCCCTGTCCCTTTTGCCCTTCACGTGTCTCCGTCATTATCAAGTCCTGCATTTTGAGAGCTGAAAGCATCCCTGTACGTGGTGGGTCTTCGACGTCTGCTTATTAAATTGGGCTGCAATTGGGTGGTTGGATATGATCCAACCACCTCACTTTTCCCTTGTGGCTGCCCCTCCGTCCTCGTCGCTGGGACCCTTCTCCCCGCCCCCCAGGTGACCTGCACCTTTGTCCCTTCCCGTCTATTATATCCCCATAAATTTGCTGCCTCCGAATTCTCCTTCTCCTTCTCCTTCCGGGTCAGCCCTCGTCAGGGTTGTCAAATCTCTGTTTCCTACCCCACCAGCAGCCTCTCCCTCCTCCAGTCAGTTTCACGGATTTTCTGCTCGGAAACCTTCAGAGGCTGCCCATCACCTGCGGGAGAACATGCAACTCTCCTGCCTGGCACCGACGACCAAGCTTTGGCTGAAGATTCTTTCTCGCCTTTTCTCTCCCTTCTCCCCTTCCTGTACCTACAAACCGGCCCCTGAATGTGCTTCCGCCTTGAGCCTTGGCTTCTGCCAGTCGCTCTCCTCCGGCTCCTCCTGCTGGCCCCCATCCAGCCTGGAGGTCTCCCCTTCCTGGGCACCCCCACGGCACCGGGGCCTCCTCTGGCACCCATGGTGCCTGCCTTGCCCCATCATGGTTTGTGCCTGTGCCTTTGGCAGAGGCCGCCTGGCGCAAGGCTGGGCTGCCGGATGTCTCGTTGGAGGGGCTGGAGCACCCAGGGGAAATGCCCACACTTCCCTTCTGATCTGGGAGCTCCTGGAGGGCAGGGTCTACAGTGGACTCAGCACCCAGTACAGGGCTTGGCATGTGCAGGCACCAGTTGATGTCTGGCAAGTGGGCGACTGAGGGGCAAATGAAGGGCCCAGATGTGCCAGTGGCAGGGATTTCAGGAGAGGGATGAAGGAGCCCAAGGGAAGCCCCAGGAAGGAGGTGGAATGGATGGAGACTGAACAGGAAGAGGTTGGGATAGGGAAATGGAGGAGGAGGGTGATGATGAAGACTTTCTGAGAAAGGGAAGAAGAAGGAATTGGGAGGGGGGGAGGTAAACAGGGCGTGGGGCTGGGCTTGGAAGAGGAGCAGGGCAGGATCTAGGGCTCCTGTCTAAGCAGAGGATGCCACTGGGGGGACAGGGTGAGCAGACATTTCCCCCAGAGGGAGATCCAACCTCCCCTGTGCCCATGAGATCATACATGCTGGTTGGGGTCCCTCACCCTTTCTCATCTACAGGAGGGCAGCCCAAGGAAAGCCCTTTTCAGAACCTGGTGCAGCAGCCTGTGTGGGAGGAGCAGGAGTGCGAGCAGGACGCTGCAGACCTCTTTCCACGCGCCAGCTCATGTTATGCTTGCTAGTCCCCGGAAGGACATTGGCAAGGTGAGTGTCTCAGCAGAGAGTACACAGCTTCTTTCCAGAGGTGACGGCCGCAGTCAGGAGGTCGACCGATCCTGGTGGGGTCGGGTAGCCTTGGGAGGCAAAACCTGATCAAGACAGGAGTTAGGGAGGGGAAAATCTCAGTAGACTCTGAGGACCAAGCCTGTGAGTCAGGTTCGCCATTCAGGGAGGGCGTTTGGCTATGTCCACTGTCCTTGAACAGGGGTGAGGCTAAAACCAGCTCTGGAGCTGCAGGCCCAGCCACACACAGCCATCTGGGAGACAGGACACCTTTCTTTTTCACACAAAGGCTCTGTTTGGACTAGTGTGGCCCTGCCCTGTTCCCTGACCCCCACACCTCCCCTGTCTTCCTTTACCCCTCCTCCTGCTTCAGCACTGCAAGGCCTGCTCCCCTCCCCAGCTCCACATCAGTGAAATGTGGGGAAGGCTCAGATATCAGCCATTTTTACTTCAACAGGAAGATGTTTGAGGTTCTGTGTTTCCTGTTACCTTTGCAAAGAAAGCTTTGTTCCTATTCAGCAGGAGGGAGCAGTTTGGAGAGGCAGAGAGAAATGGAACTTTCTTGTGGCCTCCTCCTCACTTGCAGATTTGCAGGAAGACCCAGTCCTACCACGAATGCCCAGACTGGGTCAAGCAGGTGGCCAGAGGAGTTCTGGAGGTCACTAGTTTGGAAGGAAAGGTTACAGATTCAGTTTGCAGAGAGCACAGGTTTCTAGCAGCAGGAGGACCCACAGGTGGAGCTGTTCTTTTAATGGCACAACCAGAAACGTGGGTCAGGCTGACTTCTGTGCCAGCTTGTATGTGACCATCCAAGAAAGGGCGTGTGTGAGCTCTGGAAGGAAGGGCCGTGGAGATAGTGGGGCTGGTGTTTAATTCCTCTGCACATCTGAGCACTCGCTGTAGTCTGCCAGGCACAGCCTCACCTGTGGTCTCATTTCATCCATAAACACTTATTGGGCACCTACTGTGTGCCAGGCACACCTCTAGGCACAGGATATATAGTAACGATTAAAACAGGTAAGGTCCTGCCTCACGACCTTACAAATTTGGTAAGGTCAGTTTGGTTTATAATGGCAACAAATTATAAAATGCAATGTCTGGTTGTGATACATATGGTGAAGTCTAACCAAGCGAGGGCACAAAGAATGAGGATGTGTGTGTGTGTGTGTGTGTGTGTGTGTAGAGAAGTTATAAGTAATTGGCTAACACAGATATGGAGGCTGACAAGTTCCAAAATCTGCAGTGGGTGAGCTCCAGACCCGGAGTTCTACTCCCAGTTCAACAGGCTTGAGACACAGGAAGAGTTGATGTTCTGAAGCCAGTGGGGGAAAAAATGATGTCCTGGCTTAAAGATGGCCAGGCTCACAGCCCTGTGACTCAGGGCTTTGTATGCTATTCAAGCCTTCAACTGATTAGACAAGGCCCTCCCACATGGGGGAGGACAATCTACTTTCCTCAGTGTAGTAATTCAAATATTAATCTTATCCATAAACACCCTCACAGACACACTCTACATAATCTTTGGCCAAATATCTGGGCATCCTGTGGCCCAGTCAAGTTGACATGTAAAATTAACCATCACAGCCTATCTAAGAAGGGATCATTTGAGAAGAAACCTAGTGAGGAGTGGGGGTGAGCAGTGGGGATATTTAGGAGGAAACATCTAGTCAAAGGTGACTAGTGCAAAGTCACCTGTGCAAAGTGCAAGTGCAAAGGCCCTGAGGCAGAGGCGTGGTTGGTAGTGTGAGGCCCTGCAAAGAGGCCAGTGTGTCTGGTGTGTGGGGAACTGGATCAGAGAGGCAGGGATGGGAGGAGTGCAGGATTGTGGCTTTTTGGCTATGGTGAGGACTGGGGATTGGACTGTGAGACAGATGGGAAAGTACTGGGGAGGAGGGTTTAAGCAAAGATGAGACCAGCCTGACTTTGTTTTTAAAGGGTCACTGGGGCTGCTGTGTGGAGACTAGACTGTGGGGAGCCTGGGGGGGGGGCCCTGGAGGGGGAAGCTTTTCAAAGTTGATTAGCGCCAGCGCCAGCCAGCGCAGTGGTGGCACTCAAGCCTGTAGTACTAGCTATGTGGGAGGCCAAGATGGGAGCTGGGAGTTCAAGGTTGCAGGGAGCTATGATGACACCACTGTACTCTGGCCCCATGCTGGCAACCCTGTCTCAGGAAAAAAAAAAAAAAGGATGAAATAAGAGGTGAAGTGTTAGAGGGAGGAGTCAGAGAGGACTGTGAGGTTTTTGCCCTAAAGCTGGAAGTAAAATTTCCCATTTCCTGATGTAGGAAGAAGAGGGACCCTGCTGGGGAGGCTCACAGGGCTGTGTGGGCTTGTAGTGGGCGCTTGATGAATGGAAGTGCCAGAAACGCAGAATCAGAGGGAGGAGCTTAGAAAAGGAGGCTATCTGTGAAGCCAGAGAGAAAGATGGGACCTGTTCAGGTGGGACAGGGGCCAGCTGAGCTCCCTGCTGGCCTCGCCAGGCCTGCCCTGAGGCATTGCAGCCCAGGTGGCTCCGCTCAAACCTACCAGGAGGCTGTGCCTCCCCTCACCCCTGCCAATCGATGTTGTCCTGTGCTCCTGCTGGCACAGGCTGCAGCCAGGAATTTGGGGCAGGAGGGAGCCAGAGACTGGAGTCCCAAGAGATTTCATGAGACTGTGCTGATGGGGGTGGGCCCAGGCAGACCCTGGGAGCATCCAGAGCTTGAAGCTGCTGTGGGCAATCCTCCCTCCTGTGGGAGACAATAAGTCCTCATCCTCACAATGCAGCTGCCTGCTGGCCTGGAGTCACCTCCAGGCATGGGTACCCTCAGGGCCCTGTCTGTCCCAGGTTCTCTGCTGCAGCCTGCTCCATGGCTGCACCCTCTCATGCATGGCTGTGCATTCCACGTTCTGGTCTCTTCCCTGGACTGGACTGCAGAGCAGGGCCACTGGCTCAGGCGGCCCCTGCCAACAAGCCTGTGTTGTGTTGGGAGTCTGGGGAGGGCCCGCCTCCTCCAGCAGCTCCCAGATGCCTTGTTGTCTCCTTAGGAAAAGAAAAGCGAGAGATAAAACCCACCCTGAGCTCTGCCGTGGACCCGAGGCAGACAGCATCCATTCCAGCACACCTGCCAGGCTCACCCTTCTGGGACCTCCTCCCCTCCTCTGAGGCTGTGGCCTCTAGGGGGGACCTCCAGGTAAAGCAGGTAAGACCCAGGCCAGGCTGGCTGAAGAACTTAGGAAGCTTTGCGGACCTCATGCGTATGGACGCAGGAGACGGCTGTGTGACATGGGAGGCTTAGCTGCCGCCTTTGAGGAGCAGCTGTTTAAGATGGGCGGGAGAGGTTTATTCAGGCTAAGTCTGCCTGGCGTGGGAACTCCTGCCTTCTCCATAGGAGTCGCCTCTGCTGGAAGCAGAGTTCAAACATGTCTGTCCTCAGAGGTCTCAATGAGTGATGGCATCTTCTTCTCAGGGCTCTTGGTGTTTTATGGCTCTGAGAGTCCCCCGTGGGTAGGAATGCAGGTGTGACACTGGCTGGTGGAGGGGCTATTTCAGCTGGGACTCCTCTGCCTGCATGCTTCCTGGGGCTCCCATCTCGCTCATCTCCCCTTCGCTCTCTTTCCCTCCCTTCCTAGGTCCCCGCTCGGCCTCCCTGACCTGGTCACCAGGTGCACACTGAGCCCTGAAGGGCCAGCCCTCCTGCCACTGGGTGGCTGCTGTCTCCTTTGGATCTTTTTGCGGTCTGGGCTTGCTGTTCCTCTCAACAGTAGTCAGGAAGCCCTTACCCCAAAAAGTATCTGCGGGAGGCCTTGTCCACAGGGGACCCAGGGCTCCAGGTGAGTCGCACACAAACTCAAGACAGCGAGGGAAGCTGGCTCTCCTTTAGAGGTGCTGAGCGACTTTAGTCAAGCGCTGAGGCTCCGTGTGCCACTTTTAATTATTTACAGGTGGACAATGTCTACTGGAAGACTCCCCAAGGTAAGAAAAAAAAGGAGTGGCTCAATTTAAGGCCAGGGAAGACCACTGTGGGGGCCTCAGGTGGCTGGGCCCTCCCAGTATTCAGTCCTCTGTATGCAGATGACCTCCCTTGGAGCTCCTTTTGGAGAAGGTCCCCCCCCCATAGTGTGGACAGTCTGTGCTGGCTGGATTGTCACTCAAGATGTCCTGTCCTCCCACTGCCCACTGGGTGGACATGAGACCTGAGGCAGGCCGGGGGATTGGAGTCCTGTGCAGGATACAATATCGGGAACAAAATGACTGACACTGATTGATCCCAGCAGCCATGCGAGGAGAAGAATCCGAACTTCTGCTGCCTGTGTGACTGACCTGCCTGGTGCCTGCCCTTTTCTGGCCTGGACCTCCACCTGCCTCCTGCATCCTGTGAACCACCCCTGAATCCTTCAAATAAAATCCTTGGTTGCTTAAGTTCAGGAGTTGGTATTCTTGCTTGCCTCGGGTACAGAGCCCTCTAGAGAGAGGAGGTGGGACTGCATGCTGTGAAGCAGAGGGAGGGGCGCGCCTGGGGCAGCCCACAGGTGTCAGTCCCCAGGGGGCAGGTGACAGAGCCCAGGGCAAGGGTCATAGACAAGGCTGGGGTTAGGGCCTAAGCAAACTTCCCTAAAGATGAGAACCGTGTCGGGTAAAGCACAGAAGAGGACCTATGTAATACGGAGAGATTTGAAATAGAGAAGTAAATGGGCGCCCTGCTTCTAAAGAGAGCAGAGGATGGGTCATGCCTATTAAGGTGGCTGTGGATTCCCTGTCCCTCCTCCGGGGCCAGGGGGCTGAGAGATCGCTGCTGCAGCTGCAGTGAGGCCACGGCAGGTCGGGGATGGCCACACAGGCATCCACGTCATTGTCCACCACTGACGATGAGCTGGATGACAGGGCCCCAGGACACCTTGGTGCTCTCTGGTTTGGAAAAGGCCAGGCTCTGGGGCCCTCCTTGTCTGGAACCCTCCTACCCAGCCCTGGGTGGCTGCTTGTGCCGAGGCAGCACAAGGTGAGGGGTGTGGTGTCAGCCCCCCACGCCTTTACCTGTAGCAGAGCCACGGCTCTCAGAAACAAGCCCCTGGAAGGTTCCTTCCCTGCAGAAGCTACTAGAGGGCAATTCTAAGGCAACACGTGAGCGGGTGTGTGCGCAGCCTGCACTGAGCTCAGAGGTGCTGAAGTGTCCTGGATGGAACTGGGGGTTCGCTGTGGAGGTTCAGGAAGGAGGGCTGGGTGTGTGGGTCACGAGGCCATCCCTGGACCCACGGACCCAGCCAGTGAGGAAAACTGAGCCCCTCTGGAGACAGCCAGGGATCAGGGGAGGGGGAGAAGACAGGACAGCAACACGCAAAGCTGAGGGCTGAATAATGCCTGTGACCACCTGATGCTACCCTGACCTCCCAGTCCCCGCCAGCTGCAGAGCAGGTCGCGCCCCGCCACCTGCCGTCAGCTGGCGGGCGGGGACGGTGTATGCGGCTCAAGGGCGGCATCGTGTGGTCATAATGGGTAGCGCACCCGACAGCCCCCAGAGAGCTCCCTTCCGCGCAGTCACTCAAGGAATGTGAAGTCTGACTGTGTGCTGGGCTCTGTTCCAGGACCGCGAGTCCTGAAGACCTTTCCTCACAGAACCGGGGTCTCCGTGAGGAGCAGTCCTGAGGGGTGCAGAGCAGTGCAGGGGTGGGAGAAGGGGAGGAGAAATGGAGGGGAGAGCGAGGGGAAGGGTTGCTGGCTCGTCTACAGCCTGGCTGCTCTCCTGGGTCTAGGCAGCCTCTCAAAGCCGGTTCCTGGCCCATATCCCAGGCGTTGCCCACCCTCAAATCCCTGCCACCCTAGGGAGCCTGTTCCCATTGGAGGGAGAGGGGCTTGGGAGAGGAGTTATTCAGAAAACTGGTTTCCAAAGTTAATAGAAAGAACCTGGACTTCAGACTCAATCAGATCCGGATTTAAATCTCAGATCCCCTGTGCACTCGCTGTGTGACCTCAGGAAAGTCCTTAACCCTCTCTGTGCTTCGGTGCTCTCCTCTGTGAAACAGGGATAATAATGCCCGCCTTACAGGGCCATGGGTGCTAGTCAATGAATGACTAGCTATATGAATGACTATCCCCACTATAGAAAGCAGGGCCCCCGACTCTGAGTCTAGGGGTGTCAGCTCTGGGGAGGCATCTGCCTGGCTGTCGGTGCGTGGCTGTGTGCGTATGTGTCACAGTTGTGCAGATGTGTCTGGCGCTTGGCAATGAGTCGTCTGGTTGAAATCAGCCGTGGCCGTTCACCCCCACCTCACCCACCCGAACAGACAAGATCCCACACGTGTGCGCCCAGGGCTGAGGGCACCAGGGGGAGGAGTGGCCGCCAGTCCTTGAGCCCACCTGGGCAGGCAGGACCTGGGCCTTGGGCCGAGAGGCTGGAGGAAGTCAGAGGCTCACTCTGCCAACCCCTCCCCCCAAGGCCCTGGGGTCAGAGAGGCACAGGCTGGGAGGGGATGTCCCCACCTGTGGGTCATTAGGGCCTTTCAAGGAGGGAGGAAGGAGATGGGAGATGGCACAGAGGGGGTGAAGGAAAGATGAGAACAAAAGGGAAGGGGGGGGAAGGCCAGAGGCCAATTGGGAAGTCTCTCCAGGTGGCTGATGTGTCCCTCTCTGACTGCTCAACAAGCCAGCAGAGGCACCCGGGCAAGGTGTTCCCTCCCCCAGGAGACTGAGACTCGGATGTGGCAGGGCCACACGGATGGAGGATGGAGTGGCCTCTGCTAGTCGCCTTCCTTGTCTGGACCTTGGCTTCTGCATCTGTAGAACAAGAGAAAGGTGCTGGATGGTCTTTCAGCTACAATCTCCTCCCCTGAGGCTGTTCAGCTTGAAACAGGCAACAAGGACTGGGGCCCCTGTCGCTGTCCGCTGTCGCTGTCGGCTGTGGGCTGTTGGCTGTCCTCCAGGGTGGGAACTGCCAAGGGCACAGGAGGCAGGTCAAGAGGGGAGGAAGGAGCCAGGGAAATTACGAGCAAGGAAACCCTACAGGTTTCCCCAAAGTACAATTTGAATAGAAATGTCAAACGCGCCTGGAGTTGTCACACCCTGTAATCCTAATGACATATAATCCTATATACCAACAGGATAATATCACGCGTGTGTGTGTGGCAGCACTGCCGAGTGTTAATCCTGTCTGTCTCCCGGGATGATCTTTCTCATCCCAGCAGAGCCCTCCGAGCCCAGCTGCCTTTGTTCTGCCCCAGAGGTGGCCTCTTGGGCTAGGCCTGGGGGAAGGGACCAGGGAAGTGAAAGTCAAAGATCTGGAAGAATGAAGCTGGTATGTCACTAGCAGGGGAACGGACAGGTGTGGTTTGGTGCTTTCAATTTGGTGCTTTCATTTCTGGCTGTACCCTAAGTTCCCTGGGAGTTGTGGACCCCCATCCGCATCTCTATTCTGGACTCTCTTCTCTCACCCCCCAGCCCCCAACTCCTCTCCCATTCTTCCTTTTCTGTTTCCTTCCTTTTCTCTCCCAGCATCGATGCCTCATTCTGCCAGGAACACTCTCAGGGACACGGTTCTTTCTTTCAGTAGCCCCCAGGGATCAGTGTGCCCCCTTCCTCCAGGGCTGTGCTCATGAGCTGCAGGGTGTGGGCCTGGGGAGTGACCTTTGCCTGAGGTGGGAGCAGCATTGTTAGTGGTCTGTGGATGGGAGCACTCAGGCTAGGGGACAGGACTTCCAGGCCAGTGCCCCAGGCAGGATGGAGCCCAGGCTGTTGCTGTTTTATCTTCAGTGTAACCTGCGCCAGTCCCACATCATAAGCCCCTTTTGCTGTGAGAGCAGGAAATCTCTTTCTGGCCTCCTTTTAAGGAGATGGGATTTTTAAGGTCAAGGTTTCGGGATCATTCACACAATCCAGGAATCCCTTCCTAAACTCTGCACTTCTGTGCTCAGCCTTCTAGGGTAGTGGTTCCCAAAGTGTGAACCACTTGGAGACCAACAGTTTAGCATTGCCTGACATCATATTAGAAATGCACATTCTTAGGTCCTAGTGCCCAGGGTGGGCTGGAGATGGTTTGCATCATCTCAGTGGAACCAATTCTGCACTCCCCAACTTTACATTTAGTGATAGTCACATGGGGGGCTTGAAATCAGCCATGGTGGGGATATTTATGCTGTGGAAATTGGCAAACACCATGGATCACTGCTAATTTTTCTTTCAGAAAGCCTGTTGTTAAACAGCTTCCATGGCCAGGCATGGTGGCTCACACTTGTAATCCCAGCACTCTGGGAGGCTGAGGTGGGAAGATCGCTTGAGGCCAGGAGTTCGAGATCAGCCTGAGCAACATAGCAAGACTCCATTTCCACAAGAAAAAAAAAATAGAAAACACAACTGGGCATGGTGGCACACACCTATAGTCCCAGCTGCTTGAGAGGCTAAGGCAGGAGGACTGCTTAAGCCCAGCCCAGTGAGCTATAATGACGCCACTGCACTCTAACCAAAGCAACAGAGTCAGATCCTGTTTCAAAAAACAAACAAAAAACCCAGCTCCCAGCACACCACTGAGCAGACCCACTGAATCATGAAGTCTAAAGACCAAGCCCAGCGTTCTGTGTTTTAATAGGCTTTCCAGGTGATTCTGACATGCACTCAAGCGTGAGAATCGATTTCCAGTGGGTCAGCTCTGGTGAAAAAATAAGAAAGAAAGAAATATTGGGGTACCCAGGGAGCAGGGTTTTGCAAAGGAAACTCAGTGAAAGGCAAAGAAGGAAGAGAGAATTAAACCACACCGTTGGGCTTTCCTCCCAGGAGAGGAGCAACGAGGCCTCTGGCAGGACAGACCTACTAACCCAGGGAATGGCAAGTGGAGCGAGAACCTGCCAGCAGGATGGCTGCAGCCCACCTTAAGTGTTCCCCTTTTCCATGTATCTGAACCAGAGAAGTGGTGTCAATTATTCTGAGTCATGAGATCAGAAGGGCACAGGATAACTAGCTGGAAAAATGCCCCTCTGAGTGCATATTTCTGCAACAAAGAAAAACACGCTTATGAGCATTTCATTGGAAACACAAGGAATGGAAATCCTAAGATTCTTTCAGGGTATGGATGAAAATGGAAAATCTCAGTACCATACTCATTTCTATTCATGTAAATGTGTGCAAAATGCCACTGGAATATTTTTTTCCTTTTTCCCTTTTTGAAATATTTCAAACATACAGAAAAATACAAAGAGTAATATAACAAAAGCCTTGTACCCACCACGAGAAATGGCAAATGCTAACATATTGTCACATTTATGTTACATTATTTTTTTAAAAAAGAAGTAAGACTGTAGAGACACTGCTGAAGTCCCTATTGTGCCCCTTTTCCTGCCTCCAAAGATACAGAAACTGTCCTGAAACTGGTGGATATTTTTCTCTTACATGTGTTCATACTTTACCACATAGGTACTACTCATAAATTATATCTAGCACTGCTTTGAGTGCTTCTTCATTGACATAAGGGGTATCACACTGAACCTATCATTCTGGAATTTCTTTTAAACCTGACATTGTGTTTCCAAGTTCTATCCATGTTGATAGGTATAGAGCTAGCCCATTGGTTTTAGCTGCTGAATGTCATTAAGCAGTACAAAGAACCCACTATTCATTCACTCACCTACTGATGGACATTTGAGTTATTCTCGATGTTTCACCATCACAAATGATTCTGCAGTGAACATCTTTGACCACGTTTCTCTAGAGTCCATCCCTGTGAGGATGTTGCCGGGCTGTAGG